TTGAAATTATCTCTTACAATTAGCTTCATCAGAACCATCACGACAAAAATCGAGAAGACCATTACATCTTAATGGTGGTGGATAACATGATCCATCTGTACATTGCATTAAACCAAATTGACTACATGCTGTTTCTATAGCTTGAACATTAACATTAGTAAATATTTGCATACCAGATGAATTAAATGTTGAACCAACATCATAACCATAAGATTGTGATGGAAAAAAAACTCTACTTGATGGTATATCCATTTCAGAATACCATGTATGTTGAAAACTTGTTGATGAATAATGATCAAATGAATATAATTCATCATAAATCTATAATTTAAAAAGAATAAAAAAAATATAGTCTTTTCTATTAAAAAGAAAACTTACCATAACAGGAGTAAAATGATTTCCTGGTGGAAATAAACGTGTTTGTACAAGACCAAGACCAGCAAATGCAACAAATGATTGTGGTGATGCATATGCTAATACTTCAATTGTATTACCAGTAAAATCTTTTCGTCGATTTATTGTTATATTAACACGATTTGTAACTGATGATGTATTAACATGAAAATTCATACTATCAGCAACTATTTCACCATCATAACGTATATAATAAACAAGTATATGTGCTGATGGTGCCATTTCACGACTAACACCAACATCAAATGTTTTTTGTTTAGCACCATCCATTGGAAGTATATTTGTAAAAATTAATCTTCCACCTGATGTTAGATGATAAAAAACAAAATCAACATATTGTGTTATGTTAACACGAAATAACATAAAATCACCAACACGTGGTGACTCAGTACTTGATGTAACTTGTAAATAACTATTTGATGGCGATAAATAACGTATAGCACGTTGTTCATCATCACTATCTTGAAGTTTTATATTATTATCATATAATTCAGCTCGAAGACGTATAAATATAATACTTGGATCTGGTGGTGCTAAAAATTGATGTCGAACTATACCTGTTGAATCAAGTATATAATCAGCAGGTGGTTGTATTGGACCAACCTCAGTCTCTGTATATACACGAATAAATCGATTAGGACCAGCTGGATATTTTGTACCATCAAAATTAACAGCAGCAACGTATGTTGTAAATAACATACGAGGTTTAAATACCATTGATGGACCACCAAGAAAACGAAGACGTACACCAGGTCTATAAAATGAAACAACAGTTGTACCATTATTTGTTTCATTCCACCATGGATCATGAACAACTGCTGTTATTAAAATTTCTTTTCCATCTAAATCAGGTACAAGTCTAAGAATATTTGCTATTGGAATAAAAAACCCAGCAACACCATTAAAATCACTAATGGTTGTTACAAATGATGATGCTGAACGATCAAATTCAACATCTATTAATGGATTAGCACGTGGATCATATGGAACAGACATATCACGTGCACGAACAACAACTCGTGCATAACCAAGTACACCCATACCTGTAGAATAATTTGCTGTAACAATACCACCAACACCAGGTGCATCTATTGGTAAATAATATGGAACAGTAACATTAACTTCAAATTTTCTTGCATAAAATTCATAAATTTCAAAGGTTTTTACTGCTTCATAGCCCATAACACGACATTTTACTGACCAAATACCTTCGGGTGGTGCATCATTAATTGGATACTAAGAAAAAAAACACAAGATATTATTTAAAGGTACCTCTTCCCTCCGTTTTTTTGTCATTTATTATTAGGAAAAAAATTTTAAACTAGATCTTCGCGATTTGTTCAGGAAATCTTGACTTTCCATAGATTCATATCAGACCGAATTTATGATCTTTCTCTAACTTTGCTCGAACAAGCTGAAATTTCGACCACAAACATTTGGAAGTACTCCTTAAAGGTGAAATTATTCGTCTTTATTTTTGACCTTGCTATCCGAATTAATAGAGTCGTAAGTTCCAACACCCCAATTTGGAATCCGAACGTTTACATATGTCTTTTACATAAAAAAAAAAGAAAGAGATTTTTGAAAAAGGTTTAAAATCATTTCTGAGATAAAGTCTAAGGTGTCTCCAAAAAAAAGAACTTCAGTCCAATCGGACAATGTTAGACGAGGAGCATAAACAGACTCGATATAGTCCTATGTAAAATCAGAGTTTTCCAATTAAATCTTGTTTAAATTTTTTTCTTTGAACACATATTCCCTTATTGAACGTACTCTATCTTTGGTAAAAATTTCATGTGACTCGATTGTACTTTTTTCGAGAACCAGAAATACTCTCCAAAAAAAAATGAAGACGACTACTCTGAATTGTTGTACTCTATATCTAAATATTTACTTCAAGTGCCACCATACCAGCTGTTGTTTGTTGATTTTCCCATTTACGTAAAATATGTCCCGATGGACCAAGTATATAAACATCAACTGTATGAAAATAACCACTTAGATCAGGATAAATTGGTATACAACGAAATTGTACAACTGTTTCATGACGATAAGCAGGTCGATCAAATTGAATAAGTATTGTTACAGCTTTTTGTTCAAATATTAATTGTGAAACATTATAAAATTTTTGTTCACCAGTTAATAATTTTCCTTCAAGTGTTAAACGATATGTACCATTACGAATATTATTTGGTATACGCATTTCTAATGTACGTGGTACACCAATTATAAATAAATCTTCAGCTGAAGCAACATCCATATCATCATTAGATATTAATGCTTTTACCATTATTGGATTCCATTCATCACGTAAAATAGTTACACTTAATGCAACTAATTGTGCAGGTCGAATAGTACGTGGACCTAGAATAATATATGATGGTACCATTGGTATTCGTGCCAGTTGTGATGTTATAATATTTAATGGAATTTGTCGACGTTTAATAGAATGATTAAGAGGAACATCATTATCAAATTCTTCATCTTGGTTATAAATGGATAGACCATCATCTTCGTCAACAAATGTATATGTATCATTTTGAGAATAGAATGGAAAAAAGTCGGACGACTGATAAGCTAATATGGTTGTAAAAGTATACAAAAAAAGAAATTGAAGCCATAGAATAACATTCATACGGCCCATCTGAAATAAAAATATATAAACCATGATATAGAGAAAAAAAAGAGTCAACAAAGTTTTAAAATAATGACTCTTTTTTGAAAGGTGTTCAATCATCGTCTGTTTGTTTTTTGGGACAACCAATGAGTTCATTTTTAATGACATCTATTTCAAATAAGAATTCTTTAATTCGAATTTATAGTTTTCTTAAATATAATAATTATAGAAACAAATCGAAAAACTGTTACAAATTGTTTTCAATATGTTATATCTAGATGTCACTAAAGCATTAATCATTGCTCACAAATTGACCTTCAGCAGACGTCCGCCACCTTTTCATTCTCATCACACGGCAAATTTTCTCAGTCAATAAAACAATTTTGTTTTGTGACCTTGAAATTACAGACTTCACATAGTAATGTAATGCTGGTTCTTTTTTACAGCAAAGTATTGGCGGAAAATTCAATTGAATAATGAAATTTTTCAACAGATATTTTTCTATGTCTTTTATGCAACTACAACGACGGTCATTTAAAATGACATTTCTACTCAAATACAAACATTGATTAATATATAGTTTCTTACACTTTTCAAGCTTCAAAACTTCTTTTCTTAACCATAAACTAACATATATTATCAGTTTACCGTTATTTCCTTATGTATCAATTCGAAAGCTATCGATATAAATAAATTACATGTATAAAAATATATATGATCATATACTAATATAGTTTTTACTCAGAAAATCTCATATGTTAGACAGATCCTATAAGAATCTAATAATGATACTCATTATAACTACTCAATAAAATATGATATTTTTGTATGATTTTGTTTGATTCTTATGTCATATAAGGGGCAACATATTTCTACTTAATTCTCGCTTAGCTACTACTGAATGAATTATATACAGACTGTCCCAAAAATTCACCCAGAAACCTTACGCAAGTAACTCTGAAGCAGTTCAAATGATTTAATTGTTCTCTTTTTTTTTAATAATATGATATTATATTCGTTTAACTTTTATTTCATATACTTTGACTTAAAATAAATGTTCGAAAGTATTGTCATTAACTGAACTACATAAATCAATCCTTTTCGAAATTTTCAAAAAAAAAAGAAATACTACAGAAAGTTTATTTTCAAATTAATTTATTTCTGTTATTGGTTCTTATTTTGTATTCTATCAAATCTTTATCTATATCTTATACATATAGATTTTTTTACTTTATATTTATTGATACATTATTCAAATGGAAAGAGCCAATTGCAACAATTCAAACACTCGATAGTCACATTTTTACAAGCATCAGGAATTTCATCGATTTTCTTTCCTGTAATTTTTCGAGATCTCTTTCAGGTTGTTGTCCATTTACTGCTAAACTGATTTTGTACAAGTAATGAAAAGTATCGCTCGTACAGTCTTTGTCTGATGTTTGTGTGCTAAATTTGACTTCTATTTTTTCTTTCGGTATAATAGATGATTCAAATTTTGCCATTTACAAATCTATTTTTATTCGAATGTTTATAATCATAGACATTCATCTGAAAATATACAAAACAAAGTCTCAGACAATATACTATAATATCATTTTTAGAAAAATATATAAATCACTTGAAATGCTTAAGAATTATTTAGGTAAACTTTCTGGACGAAGTTTTAGGACATTCTGTAATCATATGATTTATAAATCCTCTATTTTGTTTTGAGATCAAATAATTACCTTGAATATGAAAAAAAAAATACATTATTCGTCTATATTTCTTCAACATTCGAATAAGAGAACTAACTGGATTGAATCTAAAATTTCTATTTTCATGATCGATATATATTGTTTAAAAAATATCTCAAAATGTCACTTAACCTAATTTTATTCAGTTGAAAACATAAAACTTTACGTTATTACATACAAAGATAGAATTCAAAAGATATTTAAAAATGCACAAGACAATTGATAATTATGTCTTAAAATATATTATCATTATTATTTGTGTTCATTCGAAATAAATTTTCTCGTTTTCGACGTTGTTTATTAATACGTTTTAAACAGAAACGAAGATTTCGAGCAAATTCAATTGTAGATTTCGTTGCAATACGATGTCGATGACCTGGATTAAGCGTTCCAATATAACAAATATTTGATTGATCATGAAATACATATGGTTGAATTAATCGAGTTAAAATATCATTATTAAATGCTAAAAAAAAAGAATATCAAATTAAAGTTTATAATCATAAATATTTAATAAATAATACCTGCTCGAACACGATCTGGATTTTGTCGAATACCAAGTAATGCTCTTTTAAATGATAAAATTGTTTTATTTAATGAATTAATTAAAAATTTTCTTCGATGTGAACATAAATTTCTTGTATAAACATATTGAGATGAAGCTAAAACAACAATCATTAATGAACCTATTATTATTGATTGATCTTTGTCATGAAAATTAATTTGTATTAATTGATGAATAAAACGACGACGTTTTTTTATTTGACATGCTATATAATCAATATCATCATTATTTTTTAAATGAAATACATCATTTGGTATTAATGTCCAATTCATTGATTTAATAATACGTATTGGTGAATAATTTTGTAAAAGATCAATTATTCGATTATGACATATACCAAGTAATTTTATATAGATATCATATGATGATAAAAGACGAATTAAATCAAATGCAAATAAATCAATTAATGAATGAAGAAGATAATTTTTACCCGAATATTTTCCACCACCAATTAAACATAAACAACTATATACAAATGATTAATTAATTATGTACACGGAAGAGTTCCTGAATCAGTCATATTTGATGATCTCTCAATTGGGTTGCTTCTCAAATCGATCTCATTTAATAATTTCTCAATACGATTGTAATATTATCAATTATAATGATTCATAATTATATGGGATGATAGTATTTTTGGTCATCAACTTTTTTCAGGATTCATTTCACATTATTATTTGTCAAAAAAGTGCAGGTACTGCTTCAGATTAACGACGACAACAACCTTATCCTGATATTCTTTGATGTCTTCACCCTCATTCTGCAGTATTCCCAATTGTCAATCAGATCAATTAGTTAAGGCTATCATTGATCTGAGATGCTTCTCCAGATCAGCGGCACTGTAGCACCCACACTGTTTAATTTACTCTGCCAGTTAGACCAATTAGTTTATCGAGCACCATCGATTTGGAGTAGAATCACTTAATCCCTGAAAGCAAAGTGCAGAATGTAGATGAGAAGTGGTGTGGATTGTGTAGAAGCATTCAAGAAGAGATAATTAAAAATCACTACTCGAAAAAGATCAACGATCTAAAGTACTTTTTCTCATTATATTCAACATAGAAGTGAATAGCCTGTATAATAAAGAGTAACCAGATAAATACAAAAGTTATCAATATTTATAACGCACAGACACGTCATACATATATACAATGAAAAAAAATTAAGTTGCTTCTTTTGATTTCTTAACGAATTTCGTTTTTATGGTTTTTACTACATTGAATTTCTAATTGTAAACCTTGACAGTTAAATACAAGTGCTTTACGATGTGTAGTTGCGATTTACATGTTACTTGTTATTCGCTTTTCGTATTTTAATGCGACAAGCTCTATCGCTGACACATCATTTAGTTTAAACCGAGTTATTATATGGATTCTGCTCAATAAATGATCATTCGAGAATGAATTCTTTAGATGACTGATCATGAAGATAAATGAAGGCTTGTCATCTTTTAATTTGATGAATTACGAACGAATCGAAAAGGGTCTGAATTGAGAAGGATATCAAATGAGACGGAATCGGGAGTAAATCGTGTACAAGATTTATTTTCTGTTGATTATTTAGAAGAAGAGAAATGAGCAAATGAGTAATTATTGCGACAATTAAGGTGAGGATGTAGAAAAGGCGCAGACTTGTGTCCACACTACCTACAATCACACACACTCTCTCTCTCCTTTCAAATAATTAACGGGTAGTAAATCGTGTAAATCATTATAAACACATAAAAACAATTTAAAAAGCAAAAAAAAAAAGAAATATTTTATATTCTTACTTGCTACCATCAATTGCGAGGTCAAGTAATGGAGCAAGAGTTGAATGATAAATAGTACTTATTTGACAATGTTCATCAAATGTTTGATCACATTTAAATTTTCGATTTTTAATGAATACTTGATTATCAACAGTTATTGATGGTATATGAAGCAATATTGTTTGTGAATCAACAATACTTATAATATCAACTTCTTTGAATACATTTTGTTCGAATTGTGTTAATGGTCGTTTTCGTAAACATATTTTAATATTATTATTATTATTATTATTTAGCTTTGATCGTTTTTTAGATTTCGTAATACTATCTGTTGATTCTTGAATAAATTTTTTTCGTTCAGTATTAACTAAATCAGCAAAAGCCCATTTATTAACAATAGTGCATGTATTTGGATCATCAATCATATCGATTTCATCAGTTAAGATAGGATATTGTCTACCACGAACTGTATTGCCTGTTGATGTATCTAACAAATATACATGTTGAAATTTACTCTGTTCAGTCTTTGATATTGAATGTTGTTGCTGTGGTTGCCAATTGAGTATTGATTCAAATGCTTGTTTATCATCAATATTTTCTGATGACATAAAAGAATAAAATTGATCTGTAAGTGATTCATTTGTTTGATAAATTTGAGATGATAAATGATGACGATTATGAATTGATGGTAAAAAAAAGAATTGACGAGCAATTGACGAAGGATGAAGATGAGGTCCAATAGTTCCACATTCAAATTTTTCTATTTGTGTCACTGGAAGACGAATAATTGGACGATGAGAAAGATAATTTGATAATTTTTTAAGATAATGTTCACCACATGATTGCTCAATACTTGGTACTATGGAGAAGAAAAAAAAAACACATATATATATGCATAAACTTTAATATCGAGACTAGATGTGGACAAAATCGAATTTTTTTTTTTTTAAGAAGTGGAATCGTATCGAAATCACCCATTCCTAACAGAGATGGGATTAGTTAGTATTTTTTTTATTTGTAATCGAGTCGAACCAAACTGATTCCTAATCGAGACAAACGAAAAGAAAAAAAAGTAAAAGTTTACATCTTGATGAATCTATAGTATAAGCTTGATGATCAGCACGTGCTTTTAAATTAAAAGGCATAAATTTCGAACCATCGATTATTCGATTTTTATTTTGTTTTTTTTGTTGTCGTTTATGAATTTTTGGTTTTCTTTCATCTTGTTCATTAATACTTAAAATTTGACTAATATCTTCATGACTGTTCATCCATACATCAGATCCTTGTTCAGTATCATATGCTAATTCTGAATTTGTTAATAAACTATAATTTGTAAATTTTTTCCTTGATGTTTTGATATTTGGTTGTTTTTGATTGAAAGATGTCAATGATTGATTTTGTGATGATTGTGGTGTTTTTTTTCTTAACATGTTATGTTTAGAAGTAGAATTAACTTTTGATATAAATTCATCTTTAGAATTATTTTTTTTATTTGTTTTTTTCAGTGATATAACTTCTTCGTGATCATCACTTGTTATGGAATGTGTACTTCTTAAATGATCAGTAGCAACTATATTACTTGAAGATGTAATAATATCTGTAATAGATGATGTTGCATTTGGTTTTGTCGGTTGTAAAATAGTAGAATTTTGTTTGATTGAAGATCGTTTTAGTAAAAGTTTTGGCATTGATGATGAATGAATACTATCACGAATTAATGTATTAGTCATAGATGATTGCTGTTTCGAATTTGAGTGATAAGGATTATCATCTGTTACTCTTTTTTCCGATTGTGAAGATAATTTTTCATTTTCAATTTCATGACGATAGTCAAACGTTCGACTAGAGAAAAGAGAAACCAATCAATAATTGTCATAGTCTAAAAAATTTATTAAGAATTAGAAAAAAAAGTGTTTACTTATTTTGATGAACAAGATTGGATGAGGAGACTGGTTTTGGCCACGGAATTTCTTTCGATGTCAAAACTAATGCATCGTCTAATATCGATTTGTCATTTTTATTTTCTGATGACGATATCCAAGGTTTTATATCTTGCTGTCGCATATTAACATTAGCAAAAGATGATGGTAATGCAGAAGTAATTGTTGAACTTATTGGTCGTTGCTTTGTTTTTATCGGAGAAGATCGATCAATTCGCTTAGTATCTGAAGTAACGATCATTGACGAAGGATATTTTTCAGTATTAGTAAATTTTTGATCGTCTAATCGATCTTGATTATTATCGACAAGTTTACTATGAGATGAAGGACGAATCTAGAAAAGATAATATTCTTTTTCTGTCGATAGATTTCTTATTTTGAATACTTGATCAAGTGGATTCTTCGTTTCACTATCCATATCCATTACTAGTTGTTTATTAGAAAGTAACGATGCTAAATATAGAATTTTATATCAATTGTAATATATTCTCTTTTCTTACATTGTTTAACTAAGCTTTCCTGTTTTAACGATTTTATCTTTTCCAATGGGTGATCTTCATTTTGAGAACTAAAAAAGTAAAATTATATTAATATTTTTTTTTAAAGTAAATTCGATAAAATAGACTTTTGTTCAATTTGAAATGATGAATGTATATTTGTATGCTCTTTCGATTTATCATATCTACTAGTCGGATGCTTTGAAAAAGAATAAAAAAGTCACTGAAATCTATATGATATATGAGTAAGTTACTATTTACCTCTGATTTAGTAATGTTTTCAAGAGGTATATTACGAATACTTTCATTTGCAGAAGATTTTTCTTTGATAGTACGTTGAGTCGGCATCTTATCCGATTGATTTTCCCCATCTATTGTGGTTGACAATGACGTATTCGAAGACTTTGTATTCTTATGTATAGATTGAACTTTATTCTCAAACGGTTGTTTCATTTCATTGTGAATGTTATCATCGATAATAGTAGATAATAGGAAAGAATGAGGTGTCGAGATAAGTGGTCCTGTGAGAAGATCATATTTAATTAATCAAATATAAATTATGTGTCATCAATATCTAGTTTTCTACTTTTTACTTACTTTGACCTTCTTCACTGACGATTTTAGGTAGAGAAATAGTTCTATTAATTGTTAACTGTGTCTTTGTTTGTTGATCATCTACTTTTTTGTTAATTAAATTTTCTTTACTACTTAATGGTGGTGATGATGATGATGTACGAATAGTATCGTCAAACAAGCTTGATTCTTGTATAGATGCATTAGAGAGTAATGGTGAATCTACCGGATGAAAAACAGGAACAAAATCTGAAGTCATTTTCCTGCAGAAGAAGATTTGCTCTTACTGGATTTATTTTGTAACAGATCATTATTATAATTTAACTTAGTTCTTAGATCTTTTTTCGTTGTATCATCATCATCAATCAGAAGATCATGTCCACTAGACATAGAACTTATAGATTTTTCATCGTTATTAATATCATCTTTTGTTGCTGTTTTTGTAAATGATGTCATCAATTCTATTCGTAAAAAATTTAATAAAATACAAGTGACTTCGAGTTTTAATCAACGCTTTTACTAGATGTCTCTTCAGTAACAAAATATGGAATGCTAGTACGATTAACCATCGTGTCATCTTCTTTGGATATATTATTAATACTAAAATAAATATATGAAAAAGTCATTTCTTGAAATAAAAGATAGTTTCATTTACGTTGTAGGAATTGAGGTTGGTTGTAATGATGTAGCAATCGTTTTGTATTTGATATGTTCCATTTTCTAAATAACCAAATATCATGAATAAAGTTTAATAGTTCAACAGATATTTACTGTAGTTTTTGATGGAGAAAGTACTGATTTTATTGATTGTCGTGTAATATAATGATCCATTGATAGGATAGTAGACTTGTGAAATTTATTAATAATTGCATTATCTATTTTTTCATTTGATAATTTTTTATCTTTACTATTTTGAATTGACGTTTCTGTTACAATATTTTGATTATGTGAATCAATTGGTGAATGTTTCTCTTCATTTGATGTAGGAGTATCATTAGATATGGATTCTTTATATGAAACAGTACTATTTTGATTGTTCAAGTAAGTCAAAAAAGAATTAGAGTGTATGCCATTAGAAATACTGAAGTATTGTGTTGAAATCGGTAACTGAAATTGACTAATTTCATTCTGGTGATTAACTACTGTTGAAGCAATTATAGATGTATGTTCATCAAGTACTTGTGCATTAACATGTGAAGATTTCGATGGTTTTTTAGTGTCTGTATGAGATTTACTTATTAAACTCTACAATTAGTAAAAGAAAATTAAGATGTTTTGTTTTGTATTATATTATTCATTGAAATTGAAGTCGTAAAAGTAGAATAAATAACTTACTTCATCTTCATTATTATCTGAAGGAAATGATACGATAGATTTTGTTTTTTCTTCTTTTTTTTGATCATTCGATGGCAATAATTCTGTGTTTATTTCTGGAACATAATTCATGTCAGTTTTTGATAACTAGAAAAATAAGAATCATATCAAATGATTTAAATTCATGAATAAAGTCAAAACAATTTACTCTTATGTCTTCTTGTCCATTATCGAATAATTTTTGTGATGATTCAAATTTTTCTTTACTTTTCGATACATTTGCTGGCACTAATTGTTTTGAAGATACAATATCTTCATGTATTTGAAGTTGATCTAATTGCTCTAATAAATCAATATTTGAAGGAGGTGAAGATTGACCGGTTACAGATAATGTTTCATCATTAAGAATTGATGTAATAGATTGTTTTTCTTCATCGACATAATTTGCATGTACGGTAATAATAGAAGGAGACTTTTGAAATGTATCATCGAAATCATGATTTAATTTTGAAAGTTCTTTGTTGATATGCTCACTATTTTTCTCGTCCGATAATGAGAGTAATTGATCATTTGAATTCAAAATTTGTTTCGAAGATATTACTACTTTATTTTGTAATAATTTTGTTTCAACTATTTGAAATTGTTCTTCGATCATAGAAAAGATTTGATTAGGAATAATGATTGACGTAGCATATTCTTTTTTAAATATGATTATATCCGTTACATATTGTATATTCTGTATGTCATCAGTTGTTTCAATCATATTTGTTGTATGTTGATGAATAGATATAGATGATTTCAAATGTTCATTCAATGATGATATCTGTCCATCTACTGATTTCATAATGGTAGATTCTTGTTCGTCTTTATCATCAATCTTTGTTTGATTAATAATTAATAAAGATGGAGAAGTCGAAGAGATATCTATAAAAATTTGTTTATTTGAGTTTGTATTTTGATGATTTGCAAGAAACTTTCGTTTAACACTTACTCGATGTTCTACTGATATTATCAGATATTTTTGAAAGTAGAGAATCAAGCCATTGTTTTTGAGATTGATCATCATATAATTCACTTTCTATTTTTAAAGGTATGTCCGATCTATAATTCAGATCATTTTTATTCGTGATTAGTTGTTCATTTAATTCTTTGGTTGTTAATGAAATGTGTTCTGTCGAACAAATAAATTCTTGTCTTAAAGATTCTGTTGATCTCATCTCATTCGAAACGGTATATGGTATAGGACGACATCGTATAGGACTAGCAATTTTTGAATATTCTAATATGTTTACTTGATGTTTTAAATCAAGATTTGTATTAGATTCAATAATTTGTTCAATATTTTCATTAATCGATTTTAATGAAGCTATGATAATTTGATTAAATTATTTAAATTATTTTACTAGATAAAATCAAATTACTTTGACCATCCGATGAAATCATAATCATGTTTGAAATATGTCGATTATACGAAGAATCTTCATTGTTTATTATAAATGGCGTAGTTAGTTCTTTATATTCTTGTAAGAGATTAAATGTATTAGATATTTCTTCATTCAAATTCTGAAAATAAACTTCTTCTAGTTGTGATACAACAATAGTTGATTTTTCATTATTTAAGAGTTTGATACATTTAGTCATCAAAATTTCAATATTATCTGGTTTGCGTAAATTTAATTCGAAGATAATATCAATCATTTTATTTAGTTCAACTGGAATGTTTAAGGAATGTGAATGAAGATGAGTATTGTCAATAGTATTAAGAGTATTTTGAACACGTTGCAATGCATGAATGGATTGCTCTTCAAGTTTTGTCAAAGGCATATCAATTAGATTATTTGATGGTTTAATTCTTGTAGTTGAAGAATCTGCTGAATGGAATGTTTTTTCTTATTATTTATTGATGTAGAATTTTTTTTTTTTTTTTTTACTTTTTAGATTATGAAAACTAGATGTTGCATTAGTTTGTGAAGTTGTAGGGTCGATTATTTCTTGGCTTTGATATGGTTTTTGTTCAGTAATAATGATAATATCATCACTATCAGAGTTCTTATCATTATATTTTTCTCTTTGTATTATTTTTTCTATTCAACAAAAGAAATCAATTAAAAAATTTTATGGAAATACTCAAAAAAAGTTTATTTCAACATGAAAATAAAAATAAAGCTTTCAATATGATAAAGTAATCTCTTACTGCATAAAAAACTAACCTATATTGGTTATAGATCGATGTTTATTCATAGTAGTTGGACTTGAATTTACCATTATATTTATATGTTCTTGATCAGTCGACGAATATAATGGTAAATTTTGTTCTTTTTCATTCTTATTCAAATCAGTAATGAATTTATTCTCCGTTGATTCTATTTGAATAATATCTGATTCAATACTAGGTGATTTAATTAAACTCCTGTTCAACGAAACACTAGGCGAAATAGATTTATTTTTTATTCCTTCGATTGTTGATCTTTGATCTTTGTTATTAAAAGCAGATGAGAAGTCATTTGACATAACCTTTCTTACCTATACGATTTGAAAAATTTATAATTAAATAATATTTTACATAAATAATAAAGAAAAATATATTTACTGATATTGAAGGTGAAGAACATCTCATAATTCTATTATTACTATCCATTGTTTCGTTTGGTTTCATTGATTGAAATAAATTAGTTGATTGGAATTGTTCAGATGTTACAGGTTTCGTTTTTGTTGAAGCTGTAGTGAATCCAATTTTTGATGGTGCCGTTTTTGCTCTTTGTTGTTTTGATTTTGTATCTATATAATTAAAAACATCTTGTAAACGATAATCATCACATTGGATTGTTGTTTCTGCTGCTTTATGTAATAATCGTTTAATTTCATCAGCTGAATGACCTTGATCGAATAAACGATCAACATATGGTTTCCAAATATGATTAGATGATACTATTGATTGATGATTATGATGTTTATCAATTTGTCTTACTGTTACTGCCATATCCATTGTACCATTGCATTCAGTTTGTTTTCTTGAATTTATATTTGTACGATTATTTTTTATTGTTTTAAAATTATTTTGTAAATATGAATGTTCATCAATATGTTTTAATTGAGACATTGCATAACGAATTTTACGTTGTAATTGACCAGTTGTTAAATTATTTAATCTTTCAGTAGTATACAAACGTTCAATCTAGAAAAATCGATTAAAAAATAAATAAACTAATTCAAGAATTTTAAAATTGAAATTTATAGGTTTGATCCTGTTTTATCGACACTTTTTATTCAATAGTATTTTATGAAGAAAAAACGAATATAACCTCATACATATTAGAGAAAATTTATTGTAATAATAGAAATGAAAACATAATTCAATAGTTATTCTTCACATCGTTCCACTAAGTCAAGAATTCGTTGATTCCGAAAAATAAAAATTTTTATTTAGTAGAGATTTATTTACATTATTGTTACGGTGTATCATCATAGCTATGTTGAACACATAATCTTTCATTAATTCATTCATCACTACGTATAAGTTTCGATTGAGGGTGGCAATATTTGCATTAAGCCTGTATTGCCAATCCTTCAATTCGGATGTGTATGCGAATGTGGAATTAGAGAAATCCAATACCTACATCCACACCTTCTCATCCAAAGCGTTTTTCTGACCTTTCTACTGATGATAGTACTCGTTTTAAAAAATGTCGGATAGTGCTATTATTGTTTAGTTTACATGTTTCTCTCGAAAATAAGATTTCTTGAGTAAAATTCTGAAATTGTTCAGAAAAAAGAATTGTGTCGATGAAACGGGATTATACTAAATTTGCATACAGTATTAAGTAATTGTTGTGCAATTTCACTTAATGAAAAATTCGATTGTTCACTTATTAATTGATCAATTAATTCAGACCATCGTTGTCCTATAAAAATATATAAATTCATCTGATTTAAATTATATTTTATTGTCATTTATTTACCATCTCTATCGATAAGTGCTTGTAAAATTTTTTCATCATTTATTAAATTTATTATTGAATCTTTTTCAATACGAGTTTTAAATAGACCACTAAAACGTTCTTTAATTGTATCTACTTGAATTTGACGTTCAATTTGAGTTGGATTATTTGTTCGTATGACAATTGGACTGATTAATTCATCACATCGAATCATTTCATCAATATCTATTAGACAGGATAATTGTGTTTGACATATTTCATTTTTTTTTAGTTTAAGTAATGTCGATAGTCGATCACGACGATTATGAACATTCATTATTGCTAAACATCGAGGTGATTTTGGCATTTTGATAAATTCTAGATTATGATTTACTGTTTTATCATTAGTATTCGTTAGCTATAATAAAGAACAAACACGAAAATTTATTATTTTCTTATAGTCTGCTGAAAATTACAGTAGTGAACAAAAGTCTTTGCCTTAGAGAGTGTCAGCCATTATAGATACTGAAAGACACAATTCTGCTATGATTGCTTAAGTACAAAGAGAATTATGATGAATGGCACCTATACACCCTTTGAACTTCATAGCTGCAGAAACGATGAGCTTTCTAGGTCAGTTAACAGCTCATTATGTAGCATTGTATCCCAGCTATCCACACAACTAATGTCATTGACGTTCATCAACTCTCTCTAGTACTATAGTTGTTAATGTGGGAAAATAAACCATGTGGTGTCCTTTTGAGATGACAATGAATAAAGTTCAAACTCTTAGAAAAACTACATCTACAGATGGATATTATCGACTACAAGTTTCATAAGCAAACTATGTGATGAGCTATGACCTTCATATTGATGAGGTGAAAGATTCAAAAATATCTGCAGATGCTAATATTCAAGCAAATGAACTTATCTTTTTGAGTAAAGAATGAACATAAGATTGAACTTCAGTTTCACTCAAGAACATCAAGAATTAACCATGTATTTGATAAGAAGCTAGTACAAAATTGAGTAAACAATCCTTTTCAGGTTAAAAAGTGTAATGCAAAAAAAACCAGGTGTCAATCATCATAATTCTCTTTGTCTTAATTACTGAGATCCTTTACAATGGAGTTTTTTGTCCACTACTGTCTATACATAAATGACGAACTTGTAACTGATGTTGTCGTAATTTATTTTCAGATCGTAAAGTTAATTTTGTTGGTTGATTTGAATTAAATGCAGTTGTCATAGTCCTTGTAATATTATTCAATGATATATTCATATTACTATCATTACTCATAGAAGATATATCTGAAGAATTCGATGATGTAATTATTGTCCAATCTAAATCATGTTTTGACCATGATAATGATGATGATTCTTCATTTTCATCATCTATAATAGTTGGTAAAAATCTTTGAAGTAATGGTAAATTGATTAATGTATTAACTTGTATAGCAACTGTTCTATGTGTTGATTTCGGATAATATATATTTGTAAGAATAGTAGAAAGAACAGATTTTTCTTCAATTTCATTAAGACTTTCTTTATTTATCAATGCAGATAATGTTGTTTGACATGTTCGATTAGCACAAATAATATATTCATCGACTGTTAATTTACTATTACATATAGAACAAATAAAATGATCGATAATATTCTTGTTTGTAAGTATTTGACATTTACAATCTTTTAAGTCAACATCTGTCATTCGATAACATACAGTACATTCAGCTAATAGAATATGTTTGAGTTGTCGACATTGAATACATTTACGTAAACAAATACCTAATGGTCGAGCTTCTTGTTTTTGTATTTTAGAAAATTTTTTTAATGAGTTTTGTTCATGTTCATTTTTTTTCATTATTGTTATAGTAGAAGGTGATATACTTCTAGTTGTTGCTGTTGAATAAGATGAACTACAATGTTCTATTTGTTTTTGTTTTTGTTGATAATAGCGTTTGCGTAATGATTTAGTTCGAGTCATTGAATAATCAATGTTAATATTGGATTGTTTTGATATTATAAGAGAATTTGTTTTCGATGTTGAATTTAATGTTGATGTAGTTGATGATGTAAAACGTAAGGAATTTTTCGGTTGATTAAATATTAATATCGAATTATTACCATCACTGTTTTCTTGATTATAATCCATATGATAAATGATGATTTAGTATTTATTGTGAAAGAATTACAAAATCTCGCCAATTAGTTTCATTGAATATTAATAATGATATGAAGAATGATTCTTTTTTTTCATTGTGAAATTTTCTTTTTTTAGAAGATGGAAGAAAAAAAATAAATCCATCAATATATATTTTTTTTAATTTCTACTTTCTTTATTCGTTTTTTTTCGTTGAACGCGCCAACCAATTTTATTTTTATATTTACTTTAATAATTTGTTTTAGTTCAAATATTTATCATCCACCATATATATACAAAATGATTATATTGTTAAAGATTATCTTGTAAGATTAATTGGACAAAGAAATATTGATTGAATCATTTCATTATTGACTATTGGTTATGCTCATCTTTTACAAAATCATCATAATTTTTTAAGAGTCGCTCTCAAAAATCGATCTTGAGCTAGGTATATTCAAATCGCCTGAAATTTTCAGGATATATTGGGTCTGGGGTTGAGAGGCTATTGTAAGATTTTCAGCCCTATGCAGTGACGTTTTTGGAAGACATTCAATAAACAAGGCTTAGCATAGCTGATTTGACAACTCACAATTCTCTACGGATCTTCACATTCTATATACGTAATTTTTTGTTTGAAAGAGCATGTCAGAGCCACTTTCTCATTTTTAAATTCTTATTTGCTAAGAAGAGAAAATGGATGAAAAGTTCAATATCTCAAAAAATGGCGCTTTTGTTATAAAGCTACTCTTTTATATAATAATAACAAAGTTTAGTTTAAAGGAAAGAGACTCTGTCATGTCCTGTATCTTGACATACTCTTTCAAACAAACAAACAAACAAACCATTGGCTACAATGAAGCTCATTCGAAAATTTTGGGATGTACAATCAAAAAACCATAAACTGAGGAAAAAGTGCAAAAGATTTTCCACTTTATCTGAAAAAAAAATCATATTTTTCAAGTAGAAAATGATGGAAATTTTTTGTGAGAAAAAAAAGATGTACCAAATAAAAAAATCATGTCATTTATGAAAGATCAGACCTCCGACTATCTTCTCATACACTTATATCTCAAGTTTCATATTTTTGACAAAAAATTAACTTTTTTTTTGCGGGTAAAAGCTTAAATACAATAAATCTGTTTGTCTTACAATCAACTAAAAATGAGCAATTAATTCAAAAAATAATATTCCAAATTTGAAATACTGCAAGTGTTATACATCAAAGACCGAGATAAAAACAGAACAGCTGAAGAATCATCCGTCGAGACATATACTATCACGATGTCCTTCATAGTCATACTCAGTGAGTGTGAATATATATGTAGAACATATTTATCATCTGGTACAAATTAGCGCATTCTTGTCTGATATTTCTTGGCCTTGTATTCATATATAAATAATGAAGTATCAATTTATTATGAAGAATACAATGGTAAATTAGCGAAGTCTAACTATACTGCATTCAAATGTCGTCTGTCTATTTGTATGGAAATAAATTACTTCTTAATTAATAACTCATCAACTAGACTAAACTATAAGTAATACAGATGATTTGCAAGAAAATTTCTAAGCATGGTGCAGTAACAATACAAGAAAAACAAACGGAAATTCTCATCACTTATTGGTTGCGTTCATGAATACAACAAAAAAAAAAAAATTTCATATACTGTTCCTAATCGATTTACAAAAAAAACAAAGCATTTGTGATTGCACGTTTTTATATGACGCGGAAATACTGATGATAAATTACAAGCAAAAAAAAAATCAAAAACGAAGAAGAAAAAAAACTTTCTTTTCTAAATAAACATAAGAATATTTGATGATTTATCTTGAATAATAGGTAGAATTGTCGTAGAATCATCGACTAATGGTGTCGATGTATTCAATAATGAATAGCTTACATGCTTTTGTTCTTTCCGATGATGATGATGATGATGATTATACTTTTCTCTATATTTATTCTTTTTAACGCCATACTCAGTAACTTTTGTTCTTAATAATCGATTAGGATCAATAGTATCGATACCATTTAGATAATCATCATTTTTAGATGAATGTTTTTTTAATACTGATACCATCGACAGTTGATCATCTGTACGCCATTGCGGTAATGGTGATGTAGACCATGATGGTACAGTTTTTTCATATGATGGACGTGAATGATATGATGAAAATTTATGATCATATGCATTGTGATTGAGTGGAATTTTATCGAGACTTGTAGTAGTTAAACGTGATCGACTGAAATAACATTCTGTAGTATTATTTATATTTGTTGAAAGATTTTCATTATAAGAAGATGAAAGTAGTAGAACTGGTAGAGAATATGGTAAATGAAATTCATTTGGAGATGACGAATAGACAACATCATCAGATGATGATGAAAATGAATTAATTATTGAAAGATCACGATGATGATGATGATGAGTGAGAGACAGTTTTTCAAATTCTTGACTCATATCTTCAAGACATGCATTTTCAAGTTCATCATCATTTAATATATCAAATAATTTCTTTTTAACGGATTCATTTCTAATTAATGTATCATCTTTACCAAGTGATCGATTTAATGTTCTTTGAATAATTAATGCTAGAAAAATTTTAAATAATAAATCTTAATTATAATAAATAAAACATACGTGATAAATGTTGATCATCTTCATCACTATGTAAATTATTAAGATCATCGTCATCGTCTGTATATGATAAACGATTATTAAGAAGAATATTATCATCAGATTGATGGCGACGTTGTTGTTGTTGTTGATTATTTAAATAGTCTAATGATAAAGTCGAATAAGTAATATCATCTGTATTACTTATTGCTGTTGTATATTTGTCATTTTCTGAACAATTTATAGTATTATAAAATTGTTTAAGATCATGTGCTGAATGACTTAATTTTCGATTGTTTCCTCGTTGTTGTCCATTGGTCCATTGTGTACAATAAATTAATGGTCGATTGATTCGTAATTCACTTACATACCATTTCATATTATTTGATATCGATGGAGGATGAGATAATATTTCATCATTGGTATTTGTCTTATACATTAGATTAAATTCTATACTATCAATTTTATCGTGTTGATGATGTTGTATATTCAATGTTGTTTCATTTGATTTATGAGCATTTCCATTGTAATCTATAATATTAAGAAAAATAAATGATACTACACACAAAAAAAAAAAAAGAAAAATTTGAATACTTCTACCTTGATGATAAAGAGAATAAACAGATGAAAATTCTTCAGCTATTTGATAAACTGGATCATCATCATCATCGGCAAGAAATTTTTCAATAGCATATTTAAGTTGAGGTAAATCGACTGATATTGTTGATAATGTTAAATGTAAATCATTTGATGATGATTCATTACTTAAACTTGATGTTGGTGATGTAAATGTATGATTTGATCGTTGTTCTTGTATTAAATGTTTTTCTTTATTTTTAGAATCATGTAAGAATTTTTTTGAATCAGTATTAGCAAGAAATCGAATATCAGAACGATAATCAATAGTATCCAAAGAAGATAATGATGAGGGAACAATAATATTACTTGAATTTTCTTCTCGTCTTCTGTTTTCATCAATGTTTCCAGATTCTAGACATGTACAAGGATATTTCCTTTTTTTGTTTGTATAGAAAAAAAAACAAAGAATGTTTATTACTTTTATCATCATCATCAAGTTGAAGTTCATTGAAAACAGATAAAGTTTTCGGCAACTGTTTAGTCTCACCATCAATAGCAAGAATTGTAGCAAATGATGTTGCTTTCTTTTTTATTGTTGTTGTTGAAATATCATAATGAAGTGATTGACTTGGTATATTTTTAATTGAAAGAGAAAGAGTTCGAGCACCAGTCGTTGGTGTTGGTGTTGTTGTTGTTGTTGTCGGTGTTGTTGTTGCTGTCGGTGTTGTTGAAATAGTACTAGTATCAGCTTTCGATGTTGGTGTTCGACATAAAGTAAGTTTAGGAAATGAGATACCGAACGCAGCCATTCGATAATCGAACGTACAAGTAGACAAAAAACTGAAAATATATCAGAGTAAGCAAGAAGCGCGCAATTTACTTGTTATCCAGAATATCGAAGTAAGGTATAACTATCAGTGAATACCAAAAAGAAGACAGATCAAGGTTTCAGCATATACTCATTCGAGAATATCCTTCTCTTATGTTCTTCATGGTCGAAGATCGTCTGTCAGTCATCGATTGTGTCTATCTTGTATTCTCTCGAGAGATATCGATATAAAACGATCGACGTTTACTTGTTGTAACTTACCGAAAAGGGTAACTTGTTCGAGTTTTTTTTTCTTAAATATCGTCTTTCTCTTTTTTTTAACGATGTCCTGGTGATGTATGGTCTAAATATATAGCCAGTCACAAAAATGATTATGCAAGTTACTGTATGTATATATTATGTATGAGCTGTCCGTTCTTTATAATGATAAGCAAATGATTCAACAACAAACCTATAAAGAAAAATGCAACGAAGAAAAATCTTTCGTCGATGAATGTCTGTCTGATCATCATTCTATAATATATCTTAAAGAAAAGAAAGACAGAAAGAGAGAAAAAAAAAAGGATGGTAGATGAACTTATCTCACTTGCTCTAGCCAACTAATATGATGTCTTAAGATAGAACGCGCGTGTGGTATGTCAATCACGGTATGTCTGGTTATTGTGATATAAGTTATTATAGAAGTGAACGTGATCTCTTGAAGAGAAAAATAGACTATCGTTCGAGTACAATATGCATGCTTACGTGGCAAACATACTGAAATGATCAATAGTCATAGAACAAACGGTACATATATTAAAGAACAAAATGATGATGTAAGAAAGAAAAGAACATACATATAAAAGAACCGATAGCAAATAACAACAACATCGATTCTAGAAGAATATGCGAACAAATATATCATAAATAATGTGTATGTTCAGTAAGCATTCGCGTATGCATACCATTAAACTTGTTTGGCATTAGCTACTGGCGGTTATCATGTTGTAATTGGTCTGCAATTGCTCATACCCAATAAAGAATTTATTGTAATATTGTCTTGATTATAGCTTCTCTTCTATACTAATATTTAGAAGACTTTTAATGCTAAAAAATAACAGGTGTAATTCATATACTATATAAATAAGGATTCAAGGCCATTATCAATGTCAATTATTATATGGATTACAATATTAGCAAAGCCAATTAAAGATTTATGAAAAATAGTTTATCTTCATCATCGTCATTCTCACGAACGATGAAGGAATCCGTCAAATTTGCTATTGCTAGACACGTTCTTTAATTGTCCATTTCTTGAATTGATGGTTACTCTTACAGAAGCAATATCAATAATTGAATATTCTATCAATCATGCAAATAGACATTATCTTCACAATTGATTCTTCTACATAAGTTTTACATATTCAATAACCGTTCTTCTTTTTTTTGTTTTTGGTTTCAAATGTCACTAATGAAATTGTTTGAACAAAATTCACGTTCGTATTTAATTATGTACTGAGTGGAAGTACGACCTAACGATATCGATTCAATTTATATATTGAGAATGTCTTTCCTTTCATCAGATTAGAGGCTCAACATATCCATCAGCATATAAGCTGTCTCTTTCTTTGTTCGCTCAGATGCCATTAACAAATGATGATATTGACAAGATCTTTAAGATGAAGAATTATATTGAAAAAATTTTACTAATATACATTGATCATTGTGATCTCAACCCATTACTATTTGAACTGTGTATTATCCTAATAATAGAAAGATTTTTTTTTCAACAGTAACACTTGTCTAACAAATATATTACTAAGTTGTATTTGACTTGATTTGTCCATTTCGAATAAAACAAAAAAAAAAAGAAAAACTTGTTTAAATTATATTTTTCATTAAATCAACATCAATATGTATTCGTTCACTTGAAAGTTATTTTCTAATTCGTTTTTCTTAAATCAAACACTATATTTAAAATGAATCTAATGCTGGCATAGATAGTAAAAAGATGATAAGCAAAAAAATTTATATATAAGAACAAGATTCAAAAATTGAGAGTAAAGGTTGGATGATAACACTGGAATTCAAATGACAATTATCTATTTGAATGTTAGATTCTTTCGTCTCTTTTTAGGACATCCTGTATCAGCGATTCTAGGTTTAAGATATTCTGCAGAAGTTGTACTATGTAGTACTAATCATGAAAATTATATATTTAATGAAACATGGTGAAAACTAGAAAATATTTAAAAAAACACATTAAGATTTATATAAGAAAACAAAACTAATTTTATAAATAGATATTCAAAATAAAAATAATTTTGTCGAATCCTTGTTTTTAAGTATATGAATTTTACAGAGAATATATCTTATCAGTAGATTTTCATTTCTGGTAAAAATTGTATATAGCAAATAGAAAAGAATTTCAATTATTCGTTATAGCAAATATTCAGTTTATACAATTTACTGTTCGTTGATTATTTTTTGAATTTTGATTGTTTTTCTTTCTGGAAACAATATAATTTTCACTTCTGAGCATTTACTGTTCGTTAATTACATAAACAATATATTCCTATTAGCAATTTTCTACTATGATGATTTACTTTCGTTGATTATTTGGAAGAACAGAGGGTATGGATGATGTGGATCTGAGTCTTTTCTACATCCACGACTACATCTTGATTGTTGTAATGTCTGCTGATTTGCTAATTTCTTTTCCTGCAAATAATCAATGCACAGTGGATCGTGCACAAGTAAATATTTATGTATATTTCATTTGGCATTAAAAAAATATCAAGAAAAAAGAATATTTTCTAATATTCTATCTTATTCGAAAGTTTATTTATATTATCCGTTTCAAATAATTTCTAAAAATAATATTATTCGAATTTGTAGCAATATAGGTTTTTAAAAAAAAGCAATGCTTTTATAGCATTAAAATCTTTTTTCTTCAATTTTACAAACTAATTAAATCATATTATGAATAATGTAGGACGAATAAAAATCTAGTGAAAATCGTAAAAGAATTTATTGTGTTTTCAAACAATAATAATTGTATGACGTAGAAACGTAAGTATTTATTGCAGGAAGCGCAATAAGTGCAAAAACAACATAATTTTTATGTATTTATTAAATAAATATATATGTTGTAAATCTATATTCGATGTGTTTTCAATGATATTTAATAGTCTTTTGATATCATACCATATAAAAAAAAATGTGTATATATATAAAATTAATTGAACAATATTAATTATATAGAAAGTAGAATGTTCTTTCTTTTATACTTGATTTCAATTCAACGTGGCATTAATATATGACCACTTGGTGAACGTTCTACACATGCAAGAACAATCACACTAGCTAATATAAAAGAATGATTTTCTTTGTTATCTTTAATATCTACCCAATAAAAACTTTTTGTAGGCGAAGCGTCTTTTGTTATAAGTGCTATCGTATTATCATCGTTTATTAAAGTAAATTCTTTAGAGGATACACCACCTTGTTTTTGTAATATATATTCACCATTATCAGAACTAATTTCTAATTTATGTTGTCGTAATGGACCAGTTCTTTTTATTAATGCTATTTGACGTTCAGTACCATCCAAACGAGCAGAATATAATCTATATGTTGGACGAATATGAAAATTTTCTTGACGAATTCTAATTACCTCATTTCCATTTTCATCAGTAAGTACAAGTTTATCACCTATTGCAAAGAATATTGAATTACCTTTATAATGAATATTTCCCGAATCATCTGTAATAGTAAATCTATTATCTAATGATAAATATTTTTCTTCGATTAAATAACGTTTTGTTTCAGATTGAGCTGTTGCCATTGTTTTAAAATGCTCATAGGTCATGCATCAAATTAATGATTATTTATATTCTTCTATAAAAAAAACGACGATTTCTTCATTATTACTCATAAATATAACGAAAAAAAACATTCAACCGTAACATAATATAATAAAAGTACAGAAAAAGAACGAAAACGACAGTTTAATAAATCAGATGTGAAGGTTAATGCTCTTTTTATATTGAATAATAAAATCATTAGATTTAAATCTAAATTACAAGTTCCAATTCTTTTTTTCATCTCTTTATAATAAAATTTAATCAAAAAATAAAAAGAGAAAACAAGACAATTCACCAACTTCAAAGCAATTTTTTCTTTACTTAACTAACATATTATACAAATTATTCTTTTTCCACATTTTGCATATCATCTTGAATGTATTTCAATAAGAATCGACATATGGTATTTACAATAACTGAATCATAGAATGGATATTCTCATCTAAGTGACGGATAAAAAGTTTAGAGTAGTTGTATTTTTGAGTTTTCTTCTCAATGGTAATAACTAGGAAGAATGAGCAATATGAAATGTCTCGACTTTCTCCATGGCCTTCCTTTATCGAACTGCAATCAATTTATAGAATTACTCAAGAAATATGTTTCTTTGATTTCCATGAAATATTTCAATGATTTTGCCGTGTTTGACACTTTCTGGCCTTCCATAAATTGAATGTAGTTCGATGAAGGAAGGTCACGAAGAGAGCTGAGACATACCATACTGTTTAGAGTTATTCGCTGTGTTAAATAAAATTATTTTCAAAAAACTTTCAAATCCTTGCCAGAAAACTGGTTTGAGTAAGTCCTGATTTTCTAGACATCCTCATTCAAGCAGCTTTATCGAAGTTTTCAGATTCATCCATCCTAATCGAGAATTCTTCCAACTATTCAAATATGTTTTTGTCCAGATTCTTCCCAGCTATTACCATTGAGAAGAAAACTCGAAAAATACAACTGTTCTAAACTTATGTCCATCACTATATATTATGATTAATAATTCAATAAAATAATCTCTCGTATTTCTCTTGAATTTATAATAAAGAAATTACACGTATTTATCCTTTTGATTATCATCAAGTGAACAACATTATGGCATAATAATGAACATGTTCAAATAGCAAAAGAAAAAAAAAAGAAAAAGACGTTGATCAAAACTCGGGAAGACTTCATTATGTTTGCGATATGCATAAGAAAAAAAAAGAATCAAGAAAAGAAAAAGCAACGATAACAACCTGATTGAAAAAAAAGAAAAGAAAACAATATAGGCAAAGAAAAAACAAACAGGCGAGTATGAACTACAATATACACTTTTCTTGTTTCTATTTTCAGGTGTGTGTCCTCATCCATCATGTGGACATAGATACATAAACAAAAACACAGTGATGAAAAAAAAAAACAAGAAAAAATTTCATCTTAAGCAATCAGCACCCAGAACAAAACACAAGAAATAAATCAACCACACGGAATGTACATAAAAACAAAACAAAAAAAAGAAAAAAGAGTTTTGATTTTCTTGTTTTTTTTTTAGACAATGTTTCTTATCACATAGTGCATATGATATGGTGGAAAAAAAAGAAAAACAAACGATATGGAATAATGATGCACACTCACTGATCTACTGCTACTGGTCTAACAATAGGTTTTATACAAAAAAAAAAAAAAACAAAACAAAACAAAAAAAGATGATGTTTTAAAATGTGTATAGAATGGCATAGATTCGACTGTTCCAATGAATAGGAAGAAAATATAAGAAAACTGTTCGATCATGCAATGGACGGAGGTGATATAACTTTTTGTTTCTTACAATCGCCTATTGTATGTTCGTCTTTATTAGCAGCTAAATTAAGTGGTTGATCTAAATGATGATGTTGATGAGATAGACGAGCTGTTAATGATAATGGAACAGCTTGTTTACGTTTCGTTGATGTTGAATATGATGATGTTGATGTCGATGATGATAATGATTGAGATGGACTACAATGTTGTTTTTCACTGTCACTTGTACGATCACGACCACTATCAAATGAATCTGGTGATGATGAATTTGATCGATCACTTTTTGAAATTGTTGTTAATAATGGTAATGATTTTGTATCAAATGATGGAATGTTCGATGATGATGAGGATATGGAATTATTATTAACATTACGTGGAGAATATAATAGAGCCGTATTTGGATTTAAATTAGGTACCATTGATGTTGTAGATGGTGAATAAATTGAAAATAATTGAAGAAGTTGATGATGTATTGGTGTTGATGATTGATTTGTAAAATGTGTTGATGATGATGAATTATCATCATTGTCTAACATTAAAAAAAATATATATATATATATATATGTTTATTACAAAAGTCTTTTTTTTTTATTTCAATATTTTTACTTGGATTATATTTTAGATTAGTTTCTTGAGCGTCAGGACTAGTCGTTGGTTGATAAGATTTTTTATTTAAATTTGAATAGACCATATTTGTTGTACTACCAGTACGTTTCATACTTTTTCGAATTTCATCTGGTGAACGCATAAAACGATAAAGTAATCGTTTTGATTGTTCTTTTGATATAATATTATTTGAATAATAATAACGCATACCACGTGATAATTTTTCATATGTCATTGATAAACGATTTTTTTGAAGACCTAAAACAAAAAAGTATATTTAATGATACTAAAAATGAAATGATTACAGTACTTGTGAAAAGTTCTGTTATCAGATAAAGAAATTCGTAAACATAAATCCTTTAGTCACATATTTTAATCACAAATAGAGCATGTCGAACTCCGATCGGAAGGACTCATCAAGGCGTGATAGGCCTTCATATGAAGAAGCTAGAAGGTCAACATAGATTTTTTTTTCTCCTTCAGCTGAGGATATTTCAACACAAAAAATTAATTTTATGATGTTAAACCCACTCGTTCAAAAGCTCAGTATTTCTTCTATCACTAATAAAAATTTCATGTTAAACAGTTTTCGTTTGCCTAATTTATGACGTAATCTCCACATTGAAATTGATAGGAATTGTCGAAAAGTGACTGATATCTACAGCAAATTTTAACTATTTGTCTTTAAATTTTTTTCAATGAATGTTCTGCTGTAATCAAGTTTGCCTTGAAAATTGCACGATCGCAGTTATCGATGGAAAAGATATCCTTGAAGAGATTGCCCCAGATAATGAAGGCTTCCTTACGCCTCAACATTACAGCTGACTAGAGTACCCTATCTGTGGCACAGAATAGACATGTAAATCTATAAGAAAATGGAGATTAACGCATTTAAATGGTAGAAAACCAGACAAGTCTTTTTTTTCGGTCCTAGGGAAAAAACCAGTGTTTTTATCGTAAGTGCTTTGCATTAAGGCCTATCGAGTTCGAGTTACTGCTTATAATCAGGATTTATCAAGCTCTATTTGTAGTTAAAATATTAGATAAAATGATTGAAGTTTATGTACTCTTTTACCGGGTAATGGGACTTCTTGAGACTACGGTATTTAATTTCTACTAATTTATAAGATATACATACCCCAAAGAGCAGCAAGTTTATCAGCTTGAATTATTCGAAAAATCATTTTTTCACGATTTTCCCAATGAATAATTGATTCATAATGAGAATCTTCAAGTAAAATATATAAGAATTCCCACAGAATACGGCAATCTAAAAAAAAGAAAGCAAAATTAATTATAAACACACACAGGAAAGAAAAAGAAATGAGATAATCATACTCTTTGCTGCTGGTGGTTTCATTAAAATATCACCACGAAAATCAATTCGATCATGAAAATAACGTATTTGTCTTGTATTATCATTTGCAAGACTATTTCCATCTAAATCATGATTATTTTCACCTGTATTTGTTACATCATTTGGTTGATGTTTCATTCTTGTTGATAATTGTGAACGAATTTTAAATGGTATTGTTTGATTATTTAAAATATTTAATTTTGATAAACCTGATGATGATTGAGGAGATGATGATGATGGTGAACTTGATGTTATAGGTGGTGTTGGAACAGTCTCATGTTGTTCAATATCAACATCTTCATCATCAATATTTTCTTGTTTTATTGATGGACTAATAATTCTTGTTGTTCGAGGTGAACTATTTGGTGTTGGTTGACGATTTGATTGTTGAATGCTGGGTGATAATGCTTCACGTTTTATCCCCATTGACTCATTCACCGGGTGAATAACATCAGATTTTTCATGTAATTTATGTGAAATTTTAGCTAGACGACAAGAACAAAAAAACAAAATTTCGATATCTATTAACTGAAAATGTGTTTTTAAACAAACCTGATGTTACATCTGGACAATAAGATGATGTTGATGATGATGATGAAGCTGATATTTCTCGATTTCGTGTTGATTGTTGTTGTTGTTGTTGTTGTTGATTTAGATGAAAATAATTTGTTTGATGATTCATTAAAGGTGATTTCGGTATTGTTTCAGGACGACTAAATATGTAATTAAATGCCGGATGCATACAAGCAGCAGCAGCAGCCGCAGCAGCTGAATGTGGGAGTACACCGGCAGCCGTTGGATGAAATGATGAAATAGATAATGATGGATGTGGTGGAGGAGGAATATTATAGCGACGTGCTGTTGATGGTGAAGGTGGAAAACCAAAACTATTCCATAATTGATATGGAAATGCTAGAAAAAATAGATTTATTTTAATTATTATCTAAAATAAATTTTCATTAAAAGAAAAAAAATTAACCTTGACATTGCCATGATTTAAGCATAGCTTTATGTTGTTGAAGAGCTTTATGTAAGATATCACCAGAACGTGGAGAACGTTGTTTAAAATTGTCTTCATTCAATAATAATAATGCTTTACCTTTAGAGATAAAAAAACAAAAAAAAAAAAAAAAGGTTAAAATTTATTATTTTTATATGAAAGAAAAAACAAAATAACTTGCCATTCATTTCAAAATCACTTAAATTAACATCACCTAATGAATATTCATCGATACAATATTCAAT